TTTTTTGTTTCTTTTCTCTTTTTTTCATGTCTGTTCTTTCCTTTCTTCTTCTCCCATCCCTTCTTCCCCTTCTCATTTGACCATTTTCTTCCCATCTTCCAGTATCTTAAACATTTTGGTCCCTTTTATACTTTCATAGTTTGACACTAGAGAAACAATGTGGCATTTAAGTATATGTCCAATTTATTTCACTTAAGAGTACAGTCTGAAGGTGCAACCATTTAGCTGGGAATGTCTCAAGCTTATCTTTCCACACTGATTTTCACAATGGTTGCATCAGTCTACATTCCTACCAGCATGGGAGAAGGGTTCCTTTTACCCCAGAGCCCCTCCAGCACGTGTTATTTGTTGATTTCTTGATAGCAGCCACTCTTTCTGAAGTGAGATGGAATCTCTGCATTGTTGTAATTTGCATGTCTCAAATGACTAGTGATGTTGAACATTTTTTGCATATATTTATTTGCCATTTTGACTTCGTGTTTTAATTGTGTGTGTGTGTGTGTGTGTGTGTGTGTGTGTGTGTGTGTTTGTGTGTATGAGACCAGGGGTTGAACTCAGGCCCTTGTGCTTGCCAGGGAAGCCCTTATTCCACTGAGCCATCTCCCTGGCCACCACTCATGTCTTCAAGATTTCTACCTATTTTAAATCTTCGAATTTAATCTATTTTAAATCTAACTCTTTAAATCTTCTGGCAGATTTAGTGTTTCTGTTTTAATATTTAGATCTTTGATCCATTTAGATTTTAGTTTAGTACATGGTGAAAGATATGGGTCTGGTTTTAATCTTCAGCATGTGGAAAGCTAGTTTTTACCCATTTCATTTATTAAAGAAGCTGTCTTTCTTCCAGTGAATGTACTCGACCCTTTAATCAAGGATAAGGTGGCTGAATATGTTTTGGAGTTCTTTCAGCATCTCCTAATGTGTTCTATTGATCCTAGGTCTGTGTTTTTTGTTGTGCATTGTTGTTTGCCTGTAGCATGTTATGTGTATCACAGTAGCTTTGTAGTATGCTTTCACATCATGGATTATGATGCCCCTGCCTTCCTTCATTGCCCAGAATTGTTTTTGCTATTCTATGTCTCTTCTGGTTCCAAATGAATTTTAGGATTGTTTTCTCTAATTCTGTGAGATGTGATATTGCTATTTTGATTGGGATTGCATTATATCTGTATAAGAATTTTGGAAATATGGCAATTTTTACTGTATTGATTCTTCCTATCCAAGAGCAAGGGATATTTTTTCATTTTCTGATGTCCTCTTTGATCTCCTTTTTCAGAGGACTGTAGTTTTCACTGTAAAGGTCTTTTATTTCCTTTGTTAGTTTCATTCCTAGATTTTGGATGCTATTGTGAAACATGCTCTTTCCCTGATTTTTCTCACAGTGAGTTTGTTATTTCTGTACAGGAATGTTATTGATTTTAGTGTGGTGGTTTTGTATCCAACTATACTAATTGAATTCATACAGAAAACAAAAGCTCTAACCATAAAAGAAAATACTGACAAGCTAGCTTCACTAAAGTTCAGAACTCTGTTGATTCTGAAGCAGAACACAAGAACTAGAGTTCCTGTTCTCGAAAATGGGTCAAAGAAATTTCCTAATTTTTTTCCACCCTTAGCTGACCATGAAAAATTCTCTAATGTATGTCATGTAATAAGAGGTCATAAGACCTTCCTCATTCCAGATAGTTCTACTCCGTAATCATGAGGAAGGAATGCTGGAGAATCTGAACAGACAGGCTTTGCTAGGGTTCCCGGCCCAGTCTCTCAGCAGTTATGCCTATGCAATCAATGGAAGTCTCTATAAAATTCCCCAAAGGACCAGTGTTCTGGACACCAGAGTAGATAGAGGCTCTCAGGGAGGTGAATAAGATTCACTCATATGCCTTCTAGACCTCACTCTAAGTACTCTTTTATCTGGCTGCTTATTTTATTT